CTTCCTGGATGGTGACCATCGCCTCTATATGAAGGTCGACTCATCATTGCCCCGTCATCATATTTCGGATTGGCTCCTTTCATCACCATCCGCGCATCACGACCGGCCCCTTGGCCTCGGCGTGACTATCTATCTTAAGACCGGCTTCCTCAGCGCCGAGAGTCTTGAGCTAGCGATTTGGCTCATCATCCCTTCCTGGATGGTGACCATCGCCCTTATATGACGATCAACTTCATTCTTGCCTCGTCATCATATTATCGGATCGGCTCATCATCTCCGTCCGCACATCACGACTGGCCCCTCGGCCTCAGCATGATTATCTATCCCCAAGACCGGTCTCAGTCATTCCTTCATCGGATGGCGACCGTTGCTTGGACTTTTGGATCAGCCTCATAGTGCTGACGACCTCGCATCACGACCGGCCCCTCGGCCACGACGTGATGCCCTATCCCAACACCGGCTTCATCAGTGCCGAGTGTGTTGGGCTAGCAATCAGGCTCGCCATCCCCTCCTAGATGGTGACTATCGCCTCTATATGACGATCGGCTCCATCATCGCCTCGTCATCATATTTCGGACTGGCTCCTCATCATTGTCGTCCGCACATCGCGATCAGCCTCTCGGCCTTGACGTGATTATTTATCTCAAGACCGGCTCCCAATGCCGAAGTCTTGTTATAGCGATTGGGCTCGCCATCCCTTCCCGGACGGCGATCGTCGCCCCTATATGACGCACGGCTTATCATCGCCTCGTCCTCACATTTAGACCGGCCCCAACGCCGAAGTCCTTATCTAGCGACCAGGCTCACCATTCCCTCCTAGATGGTGACCGTCGCATTCATATGACGCACGGCTTATCATCGCCTCGTCTTCATATTCGGACCGGCTCACCAGCGCCATCGTCCCCATATTCGGTCCGGCTCCTCAGCGCTGTCGTCCTCATATTCGGACCGACTCATCAGCGTCGTCGTCCTCATATTCAGACAGGCATCCACCGCCTCGTCCCCCTATTCAGATATAGCGAACATCTTGTGGTCTCCGGCTCAAAGGCTAAAGGAGCCCAGAGTTCGGCCATATATCGCTCTGTCATCTTTATTTGATGAGGAAGAGCTCATCTACAGGCGCATCAACCATATATCAGCCTGTCATCTTTATTTGATGACGAAGAGCTCATCTACAGGCCCATCGGCCATATATCACTCTGTCATCTTTATTTGATGACGAAGAGCTCATCTACAGGCCCATCGACCATATATCGCTCTGTCATCTTTATTTGATGATGAAGAGCTCATCTAAAGGCTCATCGGCCATATATCGCTCTGTCATCTTTATTTGATGACGAAGAGCGTATCTACAGGCCCATCGGCCATATATCGCTCTGTCATCTTTATTTGATGACGAAGAGATCATCTACAGGCCCATCGGCCATATATCACTATGTCATCTTTATTTGATGACAAAGAGCTCATCTACAGGCCCATCGGCCATATATCGCTCTGTCATCTTTATTTAATGACGAAGAGCTCATCTACAGGCTCATCGGCCATATATCGCTCTGTCATCTTTATTTGATGACGAAGAGCGCATCTACAGGCCCATCGGTCATATATCGCTCTGTCATCTTTATTTGATGACGAAGAGCTCATCTACAGCTCATCAGCCACATATCATTCTGTCATCTTTTTTTGATGACGAGGAACTCATTTGTAGACCTCTGAGCCATATCTTGCTCCGTCATCTTTATTTGATGACGCGAAGCTCAGTTGCAGACCCACCGGCCATGCATCGCCCCGTCGCCTTTATTTGACGACGTGGAGCTCTTATGCAGGCCTCTCGGCCATACATCACCCCGTCATCTTTATTTGATGACGTTGAGCTCTTATGCAGGCCTCTCGGCCATACATCACCCCGTCATCTTTATTTGATGATGTGGGGCTCTTATGTAGGCCTCTCGGCCATATGTCGCCCCATCATCTTTATTTGATGACGTGGAGCTCTCATATAGGCCTCTCTCGACCATGCATCACCCCGTCATCTTTATTTGATGACGTGGAGCTCTCATATAGGCCTCTCTCGGTCATACATCACCTCGTCTTCTTTATTTGATGACATGGAGCTCTCATCCGGGCACCTCGCCCATGCATCGCCCCGTCATCTTTATTTGATGATGCGGAGCTCATCATACCGGCCATTTGGCCGTCTCTCCTGGTCATCTTTATTTGATGGCTTGGACTTCTTATAGGCCTCTCGGCCACATGTCTCGGTCACTTTATTTGATGACCTGGACATCACATTATGGACGGTCACTCGACCTATCTCTTAGTCATCTTTATTTGATGACTGGGACTAGTTATCATGCCGAGCTGCTCACATCTAGAGAATGGTATCGGCCACCCCTGTAGCAGACGGACACCGTTGCAGCTCCACACCTAGGCCGAAGGCTCACCCCTTTTGCTTCATATTGGGGGCATCCGGTGTACTCTTTTTCCCTCATCAGGATTTTTCCCCACATGGTTTTTTCCTAATGAGGTTTTTAACGAGACATCTCCCCATTGTGGATCAAAAGGCGTCGACCCTCGGCCCCCTATTGAAGACATCACGTGACACGCACTACTCTACTCCTCTTCACCTCACTACATTCACCTCAAGGAGTGGGGGACAGGAAGAGCGGGGGACTTAGTGCCTCCGTTAACCAAAGAAGCATAAATTCAAAATTTTTCACGAAGTTTCCTCATCTGACGATAGATCGGCACACAGTTCTACTCCCTTTCGCCTCGAGTACCCTCGACTCAGGGAGTGGGGGACTCCTGATGGAGTATATAGACTCGGACCCTCGGGTCTCACGACTATTGGGCCGGGACAGCGGCCCACGTACACTCAGCTGATAGCATTTTCATTATTGTACATTATTATTATTCAGGTGTTCTAGATTAGCCTTTTATATTATCAGCCCATTTATGTAACCGGGTCTGTGAGGCCCATATTAGAGGCCCAGACCCGGATTTCTTCTATATATACTCCTTTTGGAGCTTGTAAACCCTATCCGATAATTCATACACCATATCATTTCTACTATTCATCATCTTCTTCCCTCTCTTGAGCTCAATCTCTTCATTTTAATATATGTTTGGATCCCAATAATCCATCATCTATGAAATCACATATAATTTATTACCTCTACAACTTTGTTGTACTTATTTTTATATTTTCATTTCTATACGTGTCATAAGAAAAACCTTAACTTTAAGCACATATCTTACCGTGTTGTGCACGGGTACACGTACTAGTTTCATATAAGAACCAAATCGGTCTCAGACCTACAAAGAGTCTGATTTTGTTCACTCACCACCTGCTTCTTAAAATCGCACTTTTAATCCCTCAATTAGTCATTTTATTGAAATGTCAGACTCGTGTTTTGAGATTATAAATGTTACCCCCAAATTGATCAATGCGTTGTAAATGTCATATCCACCGTTTATAATCCATCACCAATTCTGGTCTATCAATATATTCACCGGAGATGACATTTACAACACATCTGTCAATTCGGGGGTAACATTTGCAATCTCAGAAATATGGGTATGACATTTCGACATGGTGACTAATTGAGAGAACAAAAAGTGTTATTTTCCCAAAACTTTACTATAACTTTTTTTATTTATGATCCAATTTTTATAAAAAATAATATACCCCGTATTAGATTTTTGGCAATCTTCCATCACATCTCCGGACAAACTCTTCGCGCGTCTAATCATTCAAAGGGAGTCATGAAGGGTGTTGCCTTTCGTCGTTTGTCACAAGCTTGCGAAACAAAAAATTACATACGACTATTTTGGTCATGTATTAGTCATGATTAAGCGAGGAAGCGGTCCAGCTCATTCATAGCCGACCCACAAGGAGAGACATTGGGTTTGACACTGCATTGAAGTAATTTCAGACATATTTAATTGATTTTAAATTATACGAGTATTAATATATTATATTGATTAATACTACGTAGTTGTTTCATGTGTTTCACCAATCTGATCGAGCTATGGATTTTAGAATCTATTTACCAATTCGAATTTTCAAGTTTAATCCGAGTATTTTTACTTCAGCCGCCTAAAGAGAAATTTCAGCTCAAAATTCGATCGGGAAGGCAGTCAAATAATTCGGCGCAGTTAACTGCGTTTTTCTATGTATAATTTGGCGCAGTTAACTTCAACGAATTATTTGACTGCCTTCCTGATCGAATTTTGAGTTGAAATTTGGTATGGATAAACTAGACTTGATAAGGAAGATGCTCAAAAAATTTCATCAAAACATTCTGCCGGGAACCGCCCCAAAAGGCGGTGTTCGGACAGAAAAGTGCTGAAGTTTTTGATGGCTAGTTTTTTAGGTTCATTGTGGTGCTTTGGGCTAGTAGGAGAAGTTTTTTTTAATTGAGTTTCACTTTGACTTGATTTGTTAAATGAGGTCTCTTGTGCATGGATATATAGGATGATTGTTCTTTTATAGAAATTAGGTAGTTCGAATTTCTTATAATAAATAAGTACAAAAATATAAAATTACTCCGTACAATTTTTTGTATTGAAATAGTTACCCTTGGATGTGTTACATACTAGTTCAATTAATTAGATACTCAATACAAATACCTTTGGGCATAAGTATTTGTTTTTCAAACGGTTAATAAAATAAAATAAAATCCCGCCTTGAATTGTTGAATAATAAAAAAAGTAAAGTTAGAGTTTGATGAATAAATCACTTTTTTTGCTAAAGAGATCTATTAAGCAATTTTTCATATAATATTACCTCTGTTTTTTATAAAGTATATTTTAAATGCAAGTTTATCAGATTAAAGAAATTCAGTCGTTCCAATCAAAGTTATATCAACTTCATTACGTTCAACCAATTTTAGTGTTAAAAATGCGGTTCAATTAAAAATGTGACGTGGTTCAAATTTTCTCTTACCCCTTACACGGTATTAATCTAGCCCAACGCCTTATTTTTCCTGTATCCGCCCTCTAATCGTAAGATCCGGGTGACCCGAATCCAAGAGTCAGAGCGAGTCAGGAATAGGCTTTTTCACATTTTCTCGTGGCCTCAACAAGCTTAACTTCTTACCGTTGAAGCAGCTCATCGTCGCCAGAGAACCAAAATGTTAGCTCGCCTCGCAGCTCAACGATTAGTGGAGATCCGTCAAGCTCTTCGTAGAACTCCACAGGCTGGCTTCTATTTTTACATATTTTATCTCATTTTTCACTGGCCGCCTATTTCGATTATATGGGGTGAATCTTAGTTTTAAAATCTGTGTTTTTGTTGGCTCAGGTTTCGCGATCTCTTTCCACTGCACTTAATTATGTGAGTTTAAATAAGTATCTTTGTTAAATGCGCTTATTTTAGATATACGAATCGAAGTGTTGGTTGGATGATGGTATCTTTTTTGTTTTCTTTGCGTGATTTTTGTCTTGCAGCACCTGAACAGTCCTGATAACAATCCTGAATTGCCATGGGAGTTTACAGAGACAAATATGAAAAAGGTGTTTGGTCAGTTCGTTTATTTTTTATTTGCTGGGCATTTTTCCTTTTTTCAATTTTATCCTTTTTCAGGGTACATTACAAAAATTGCCATCTTTGCTGCATACATCTTAATATTTTCCCACCATATCACTCTGGGACCTCTAAATGTTTAAGCTTGCTATTCCCTGGAAGGGGGATTTTTGGGCATATCTTGTACTTTGTGGTTAGCTATTCCCTACATATTACTTGCTTCATTTTCTCGGACTTAAAATAATGTTCTTGGATAACCATTCTGTCTTATATGATTGGTCCAATCTTGATGATATAATCTTATTCAGGTGAAGGAAATATTAACACACTATCCATCCAACTATAAGCAATCTGCAGTTATTCCTTTGCTTGATCTTGCGCAACAGCAACATGGGGGTTGGCTTCCTGTTTCAGCAATGAATGCAGTATGTAGACTTGACTAAATTTATGTGCATTTATGTTCTTTGCTAAAATGATTAGTTAGTTTCATTAATCCCCACTACTTCAGCGGTTCTCTTTTCACATTTTTCAATTCTCTATTATGTTTAATAATATGCTAGAAGTTTTCACATTTTTCAATTCACATTTTTATTGGACGTAGTTAATGGCTACTTAACTCTTTCTGAAGCTTAGTCTCTTTGGTTTCTCGGCCTGTTAGTCAACCAAAAGCTCAAAATGGTCCGGACACCCATGATAAAAATGGGATTCTCCCCCACATATGACTAAAAGATAGGGACTTTCTCAATGTATGACCATTATAGTTTTTAGTTAATGGAATGATATCACACAATCAAATTAGGCAAAGCTACAAAGCAAGAAACTGGAGGAAAATGATGTATGCCGTATGAGGTATGCATATGAGTATAGGACACCACACCATCAAATCAGGAAGAAGAAAATTGTAGTCATATATTGGGAAAGAGACAATTTTCTAATCATACATGTGGTTATTTTTTCCATAAAATATCAACATTAATTGTCTTCGTACTTGAATTACTAGCTGGGAAGTGGGAACCTTAGTTTTAAAAAGCAGGCGCGCAAAGGCGCGAGGCGCCTTTAGGCGCTAGGTTAATCGCAATTCACTTACTCAGGCGGCTTAGGTTCTTAGAGGCGATCGCCTTTCTCGCTTATTAGCGCCTTTTGCGCTTATGAGAGGCGAGCGCTTTTGGCGCCTCATGGACTCCAAGTCTCAGTTTTCAAAGACTCCAAGTCTCAGTCTTCTTCTTCGTTTCTTCCTTCTGCGGTCTTCCGATACATCTTGCGGTAGTTCTTCTTCCGACTTATCCGATGATAGTAACTGAAGAATCCAAGAAGAAAGTAGTAGTTTATTAATGAAAATTTAGTGAGGGAATACAGAAAGTCACGAAAGGAAAGGTTTGAGACTCTTCGAGTGGTCTCTCACTCCCAATATCCCAGTCCTGATCCCAAGTTTTGCCTGCCCTCTTATTCTACTCCACTCCTATTTATAATAAAATTCCCTAATGGGCCGGCCCAAGCTAACAGTACCTAGCCCAAAACCCTTATTTATACAATATCACACCCCTTTGTATAAATCTACTATTATTATTATTGGAAGTCCATGTCCCTATCATATCTCCCCCCTTCAAAAACCACCTTGTCCTCAAGGTGGGTGATAGGAAGCAACCTTGATCTTCAAATTCATCTTCATCCTGGCGCCTCTACCTTCCCAGTATCTCACTGATTTCAGAGCGAGGAGCTTCAGTACTTGACCCTTCATCTTTATGTTCTTCACCTTAGGATTTTCACGCCATCCACGTAATTCCTGCATCATATTGCGGCCATCCGCTTGGAGGATTATTCCTTCAGGTTGCTCTAAAACTTCCAGAGCATCAAAGAGAGGAATCACTGGCAGGCAATCATCTTGAGTTTGACCCTTCAGAAAATGTTTCTCTCCTCTCCACGAGATCAGTGATGTATCCGAGCTCAAAGGGGACCTGCCAAAGGAAATACATGATTTCTGAAATTTCATCATTTGCACTCCAAGAGATTCCATACATAGGTGCTGAGATCCCACCTTTACTTCACCTTTCACAAGAGACTCGTCCGTTACTGCCCGTTCAGCATCTACTTCATGATTATAAACTAGGTTAATCCTGATATTAGTAACATTTTCATCCCATTGCCACTTATCTCTCTCAGAAAGTACTCTTAAAGAGTTCCTAACCTCATCCCTATATTTTCCAGGAATGAATTTTGAGAACAAGAATTCATTGCTATCATTTTTCAAATGAGGTGTTTTCCTATCATCTTTGCATTTTCCAGCCAGAGGCATGAGAGCAAGAGAAATAACAGAACTCTGGAAATTTCCTATCATTTTGGCAGCAACATACCAAACATCATGGATAGAAACTTGAGGCACTTCTGATGCCAGACGTTCTGCTTGTCCTCCATTTTTGCCAGGGTCACTAGGAAAACCGTCCGACAGAAGCCTTGGCTCTGAAGATCTACAAGAGCCGTACTTGCCATTGAATAGCGGCAACTCAACCTCTCTCCTGACTCGACTAGGTCCTTGGTTCATGTATATCTCGCTTTTGTTGTCTGTTATCTGCGAACTGAGAACATCTCCTTCTGATTGCTTCACACTTGGAGGCGAACTGACATAAACTGCTGGCGTTGGAAGAATGTCAACTTTGTTCTGTTCTGAAGGTGTTGGTGCAGCCGGCTTCAACTCAGTTTTCAATTCCGGAGAAACTTGCGCAAGTTGAGAACCGGTGACTTCAGATTGCCATAAATTTGACGAATTAGGAGACGTTGCTTGCATAAACCCCTGAGAACTGGAAACTACTGTGAGCGACGAAGCTGAAGCAGTTTGCGATGACTTCAGCGAACGGGAAACTTCTCTGGATAACGTCGTACTTGGTCGTGAACTGCTGACAGATGATGAAAATCGTGATTTCGAACTGTAAGACGAAGTTAGCGAAGAAGCCAGACAACTGGAAGGAAGTGCTCGCGACTGAGAAGAGACCTGTGCACCCAATGATGCCTGCGAACTACGCGAAGCAGTTCGCGATTGCGAACTAGTAAGAGCAACGGTCGAAGAAACCTGATTTTCAGTTGGCCGACGGCGTCTAGGAGGACTCCTCGCTCGGCCTCTAATTCTCCTACGACGTTGTTTACGCAAATGGTGTATCATCTCGTCCAGCATCGTTTCCATCTTCGTCCAGGTGTTATTCTCCAGATTTGCGCGCAAACCAGAAGTGCGATTCTCCATATTTTTTTTTGTTGCGTGAATGTCAATCGAAGCTTCCCAGGGCCTACTGCTCTGATACCAATGATAGTAACTGAAGAATCCAAGAAGAAAGTAGTAGTTTATTAATGAAAATTTAGTGAGGGAATACAGAAAGTCACGAAAGGAAAGGTTTGAGACTCTTCGAGTGGTCTCTCACTCCCAATATCCCAGTCCTGATCCCAAGTTCTGCCTGCCCTCTTATTCTACTCCACTCCTATTTATAATAAAATTCCCTAATGGGCCGGCCCAAGCTAACAGTACCTAGCCCAAAACCCTTATTTATACAATATCACACCCCTTAGTATAAATCTACTATTATTATTATTGGAAGTCCATGTCCCTATCATATTCGACTTATCTTGGGCTACTCTCTCGCGTCGCAGGCAAGTGTGTTTACTTTTTTTTGTCTTCTTCTATTTATTCTCTTTTATTTTAAGTTGTTATATTTATAAAAATATTGAGATTATTTAAATAAAAAGTTAGATAGCTGATACATACGTAGTATTATCTTTGGCTATTTATAAGTTTTGATAGATACAAACAACAAACAACATCCAAGCCTTAATCCCAAAAGAATTTGGGGTCGGCTAACATGAATCGATCTATGATATCGATGCCAAAAAGAGAAGGCGGACAAGAAAAGGAAAAAAAAAGTAAGATAAAATGAATAAAATAAAGATACATAAATATAAGATAATAATAACACAAGAATATAACCAAGATAAAAGAAAAATAAATAAAAGAACATAAAAAAGCTAGAAGATAAAAATAACATATAACATAACATAAGAATAACATAACATAAGAATATAAAAAGATAAGGAAGATAAACGATAAAAGAAACAAGAGAGGAAAGGTAGATAACTGAAAAAAAGTTATAGCCTTTTAAGTTTGTAAGTTTTTTTAAGTATTTAAGTTTCTAAATTTATAAAATTATTTAAATTTACAAATCTGTCTGTAATTAAATTTACAGAATTGTATTTGTGTGATAGTTTACACTTGTATTAACGCTTGGGGTTTTCTTTTATCTAAAAAAAATGGGTAGCTGGCAATTGAGTGCAGTAAATTTTTATTGCATTTTATTTTGGCCAATCCTGAACTCTTTACTTGCATCATTTGCGGATATGTTGTACTGAAATACGTTTTATTTTCTATATTTATTTTCTTGTCTGAATTGGGAAAGATAACTCATTAAGTTCATTGCTACTCCAGATCAAATTCTCAAATTAAGTTCATTGCCCAACTTATTTACTTTCTTATCTAACTTGAGGAAGAGACCTCATTAAGTTGATTGGTATCTAATTGTCAAAGGATGCTCGGAATTTCTTTGGATATCTTAGGTAGCGAAGGTTATTGAAGTTGCTCCTATTCGTGTATATGAGGTTGCAACCTTCTACTCCATGTTCAACAGATCAAAGGTGATTTAGTAGACAATGCTCTAGTATAGGATATAGGCCACCTGCCTTGTTGCTACTTGCTACTTTGGTTTGACAGTAAAGAATCTGTATCTCTTTTCAGGTAGGCAAGTACCACCTTTTGGTTTGTGGCACAACACCTTGTATGATACGTGGTTCAAGGGAGATAGAAGATGCGTTACTGAAACACCTTGGAGTAAAGCGGAATGGTAAGTCTATGCCATTTTGTAACAGTTTCTCAAACAGCCCCTTCCCCCCCAAATGATAGACAAAGATTTTGAGTTATAACATTTTGATTTCCAAATTAAACTGTGTGTTTTGCAGAAGTGACAAAAGATGGGTTATTCTCTGTTGGAGAGATGGAATGCATGGTGAATCTTGTTTGTCTATTTGCTAGAAGTTCATAACTGATTTATTTTGGTGGTCCCAAGCTATGATCTGCTTCTTGGCTGTTGCAATAAAACAGACAGATGTTAATAGATGACAGGAACTGCTTCTCTGGTCCTTAGATGCGTTGGTAGAATATGTCACATACCATACGCCCATACATATAATATTTCCAGGTTGGACGTGCCTGTCAAGTTGACAGATAGAAATGCATGATCTCTAATTCTCTAGAGTTCAAGTTAAATTGACTTGACACTATATTTATGGAGATAGGTGCCACCATATCTTTACACTTATTACTTCCGGGCTATAATACACTTCTGATAGTGACTGATAACCTCAGAGGCTTTGACCATTTCACGAGCTTATATGTTTTTTTAATCGCGTGTTTAACCTATATCTAGATAGAAGTGTCTCCCCACCCCCGAAGAAAAATATATCTTATTCAAGGAAATGACATGAATACTTTATTCCTTATTATGATTCATCACATTGAATGTTGGAATTTGGTCTGGTATTTGACTGTTCGGATCAAAATCATTGAATTCTTGGATAGGGGTGCTGCGTAAATGCTCCAATGATTACCATTGCTGACTACTCCAATGGGTCTGAAGGATATACGTATAATTATTACGTAAGTTATTATTTTTGGTACTTACTCCCTAACCTAATTTACATGACATGTATTTTTATTGCAATAAAATGTGAGTGATTATATGGCATGGCACAGTTTCATGAAATATTGTTACATGACATTAGATTTCAAATATGAAGTAAAAAGGCATTTTATGATTTTCAAGATGAAACTCTATTCTCAATCTTCATGCTAGTTGCAGGGCATCTAAATTGGAAGTAAATAATAGACTTTTAGTATCAATTTGCTTACATAATGCTAAGAACTCTCCGTAACTTTATTCAAACTGCAGGAAGATCTCACTCCTAAACGAGCTGTGGAAATTGTGGAGGCATTCAGAAGAGGTGAAAAGCCAAAGGTACGACCTAAGTAGTGTTAAACTGGCTGCTATTCATTCACAAAATCATAATGATATAATTGTCCTCTAAGTTGGAATGCTTGTAATACATTAGCGAGGAACGCAAAACCCACAGCGGCAGAATTCTGGGCCACAGGGAGGAAACACTACCTTGTTAGGGGAGCCAAAGCCTGCGCCATGTAGGGATCTTGATGCTTGCTGATCGAAATTGTTATATGATGCTTCTAATAATGCGACATAGGATGTTGGTCAAATTTTCCATGATTATTATACTCTTATTAATTGTTGTATTGTTGTATTTATGGTATCTCGCCGGGTCACTTGATCAATCCTCATAACTGTGTTGTTAAATAACTCAAAATGAAGAGACCAGGCTCTGCTGAGCGTGTGAATCACATAATATTGTTGAATAATATTGTGTGATAAGAAGAATGTGCTTTCTCTTGTTTGAGTTTTTTAAACCTGGGGGGGGGGGGGGGGGGGGGGGGGGATCAAGTTAAAAACTTCTATCGCATGTTATCTCGTTCTTTATTATTTTCAGCGAATTTTGTTATCACATGATGTTAGACATAATATTTTGTGTTTGAGATTATTTCTACTTTTAAATCTTTATAAGAAAGAAGAAATATGATCAGAATTTGGGGATGCAAATGATAAAGGTAAGAAATGAAAATTTAATATCAAAAACACTTTGCCATAAGATACCTCATTCTCTCTTAGCTTCTCATTTTTTTTAACTTTTAAGAAGTGCTATTAAATGGTGTCAAAACAAAATGTGATTAAATGATTTAAATCTATTTACAGACACTAAACCAATTATGCTTCCATACCAATTTTACTACAAAAAAATTGTACTACCTCCGTTCCCATTTTAACTTCTAAATGAGTTTGGCACAAAGTTTAAGACAGTGGATATTGTGTGGTGGAGAGTTGTGCAGAGGAGAGAAATGTGTAAGAAATGTTGTGAACCACAAATTCTTTACCAAAAAGGGAAAGTGAAAGTTTTAATTGGAACGGACGAAAAAGGAAAGTTGGAAGTTTATTTAGGAACGGAGGGAATAGTAATGTATGAGTCCTCCATTAGGTATACTTGCTCAGTTCTTTAATAGTTGCAACATTGAGTTTTTTGTACTATTTACAAACCTTACTTTGATCACACTTTTCTATCGATATATATAATCAAATTATTATGTATAAAATGTCTATTAATGTGAGATTCCGGTCTGGACAGTGGACACGGTCCAATTCTATTTTTTCTTTTCCCCCGTTTCCAAGCAAAAAAATGGTTGATCTGGGACCGAATCGAGACCAGAATCGCCCGGTTCAGTATCCAAATGGGTGAATCAGGATCGGGTAACATGTTTGGGCGGACTATGGGTAGTCCCAGGCTCGAATCAAATTTTCCGAACCCGGTTCGATCCCAAACAATGTCGGACCCAGTTCCGGGTCGGGTCCACCCCTATGTACTTCCTCCGTTTCTAAAAGAAACTCACACTTTCCTTTTTGAAATGTTTCAAAAACAAAGTCACACTTCCCTTATTTCTTTATTTGGCAAAGAAATCTACATTCAAACAGTGCCAAACAGTGTCAAACAGTGTATAAACAGTGTTTTCTACGGTAAAGTCAATTTATTTCCTTAATAATCGTGAAGTCAAACCGTGACTTTCTTTTGGAAACGGAAGGAGTATGAGTTAGCACTTCAGTGACAACTTTTTTTGTTTTTATTTTTTGAGTGACACCTTTATTCCCCCTTACTGGATTACTATATTACAAAAATGTCAAGTGTAAAAGCTTTGTATATACTTTTGGCACACTCAATAAGAGTCTAATTTTTTACCCTCTACCCTCGTCTCTCCATACGAACACACTTTCTTCTTTGTACTTTCTATCATCTTCATTTTCATCATCTTTTCTTCTCAGTTTATCTTTCTTTTTCTCTTCTATTCATACTCCATCTCCACCATCATCTTCACCTTTATCATCTTCTAAGATTGGGAAAGTAAATGAAGTTTGAGAGTCATCGAGAATTTGCCGGAAAATGAGAGATGAACAACCGTCGGAATTTTTTATATATTGTCTACAAAACTTTGTCTATGTCATGCTAAATACTGATACGATTTATCTTTCAAGAAAAACGAAACTAGTAAACTAGTAACATTATGTAAAATTCTGCCATAAACAAGAAATGTCTGTATATAGGCACTGATTGTCTGTGTATAAACATTAGCTATCTATGATAGGCAAAAAATGTTACACACATACAAAAAGTGTACAAGTATAAACAATTTTTGTCTATATACACAACTATGTTTGTGCACATACATTGGTTTCTATGCACTGATAATTCTACAAAAATAGAATGCAAGTCATTGTCTATATACAAACACACACATTTGATTCATGTGCCCAAACATTTTTATAGAACTTTCTAATTTTTTAATATAATTTCTTCACTTGATCCAAAAATATATATAATTTCTTCACGCATTCAAATTTTATCAAAATTTAGGACGATCGAGGCAATATTTTACTAATGGCTCAAAAATAAATTCGACTATATTTTCGATCAACCCAATTCCAGTCCGATCTTGAAAGGTGGTGCTAGAGTAGATAAAATGAAAGATGACGCAAGATGATATGACGAAGATGAAAGGTGGCGAAGATGGAAGATGATGAAGAAGGGGATGAAAAAGATTAAAATGATGAAGAAGAGAGGTGATGGATATGGAAGATGGTGAATACAGGATGTGATGAAGACGGGAGATGATGGATTGTTGGATCCAAACTACTCGTATATTATTAGGAGAGATTTAGAGCTAAGAAGTGAAGAAGATGATGAATAGTGGATATGTGTATGAATGTGAGTCAGGGTTACAAAATCTCTCGAAAGGAGTATATATAGAGAAAGAGTGAGTCAGACCGCTAATATGGGTCCGATAGGGCCAACTACATGGAATAGCTAATAAATGATACAAAAGCTAATCTAACAGATATGATGGATAATAAGATGTACAATACTATAAATAGCGTCTGCTTAACGCGCGTGGGCCGCTGTCCAAGACCATAGTCATGAGATGGGGGGTGCGAGTCCCTATACTCTATCAATAAGGATATTTGATGAATATGAAAGTAAGAAAGAAGAAGAAGTAGAAGAATGAGAGAATTGTATGGATAATGAGAAGGAGAGAAGATGTGATAATTTTGAAACCTTATATATAGGGTGTGTCAAAGTTGTACACAAAGATGTACAACTACAAAGGTTTTGAATTATCAATTCCACATATCATGACTCCGATCTTCTTATGTGTTTGGAGAGTACTACATAGTGTAGACATATAAAACGAGCTCATCTTGATCTTGCCTCGCCTCAATTGGTTCATTCGAGAACTAGTCGAACTCGAGCTCGTTGTACTACTTGATTAGCTTTACTAGTCGAGTTGGCTCGACTCGATAAGACTCATAGTGGACTCATGAGTATGGCATAAGAGTGCTTCCATGATTTCCATCACGTTATATCCATTATATTTTGAAGACTCATTCCGATCTCGAGCAATATATTAACGAGTCCAATTCAAACTATAATTGACTATTAACGAGCCGAGTTCAAACCAAAATTTGAGATCGAATCTTAATGAGACAACCTTGAGCCAGACTCATAACATGTTCTAAGGCCGAGCTTGAACTTGTGATGTATTTAGGGCTGAGCACGGGTCGGGTTCGGGCGGGTCGAGTCTATGGACCCTTAACCCGTTCGGTTTTTTTAATTTAAATACTAGGCCCGACCCTTTGATATTTTAAATCGGATATTTCAGATATTTTTAAGTCGGATATTATCGAATATCGGATCGGGTTTCGGATATTTCGGTTATATTAAAAGTTAAAACAATAAAACACATTATAATTGGATAATTAAAGTGTTGAAATGCCACTTTGATAAAAATTATACACACTAGTGCATTATACATTTAAATTACACAAATAATTTAAGACAAATTACACAAATAATTGAACACAAGTATTAATTTAACATATTCAAAGTACACACTACATAATTTAATATATTTTGAATATTTTGGTTATATTAAATCACAATATAATTGGATAATTAAAGTGTTGGAATGCCACTTTGACAAAAATCGTACACACTAGTGCAATACACATTCAAATTACACAAATAATTTAACACAAATTGCACAAATAATTACACAAATAACTGAACACACGTATTAATTGAACATATTCAAAGTACACACTACATAATTTAATATATTTCGGATATGCGGGCGGGTCGGGTTGGGATTTTACAAACCCTACCCGCCACCTGGTCTAGGCCCAATACTAATCGGATTTTCGGATTTCGGGTTTTCGGATCAGATATCCATATCCAATCGGATATTATCAGCAAAAAACTTCGGGTTTTGCGGGTCGGTTCGGGTTGTGGTCAGCCCTAGATGTATTGGGGATGGATATGATTTCAAAAATAACACTTTCAACTAGGACTGAATAGATTGATTTAGTTTAACTGAACCAAATTGTACCAAACCGAACTAACCTGAACCATATGCAATTTGATTTTAGTTTGGTAGTATTTCTTCCAAATCATATTAAATCGAACCGAATCGAAATCGAGAATAATCAAATAAAACCGAATCGAACTAAAGAATTTAATAAAACCTTAATATATTATTAAAAAATAACAAAACCAAATTACACCCAACCGAACTAAACCAAACCAAATCAAACTGAAAGATAGTACGATTTTTGTTTGGTAATCATTCTTGCAATCCGTTTCAAAACGAACCGAAACCGATAAAAACCGAACTGAAAACCTATATGTCCACCCCCTGCTTTCAACTAATGGATTCAATCCATTGATTCAATCTATAATGGATTCAATCCGAACCCGGATCCAGCGACAATGCTCCCGTGTTCCGCTATTTAAACCACCAAGACAAAGAGTGGACCCACACCCAATGTGCATTTCGATGGCAGCTTCACTGAGACCTACCCACTTCCCTCAACTCAAGAGCAACCAAAGCCGCCGTTCCTTCTTTACCCACTCTTCACAAAGAATAAAGGTTTCTCGCCAACTGCTTAGTCCAGCTATGGCTGCTCTCAGCACCGCCGTGGCTCCCGGCCTATCTGAAACTTTTACCAGGCTCAGGCAACAAGGCAAAGTAAGGCAACCGCTGTTTGATTTAGGGTTTTCCATTGGTGCGAATTTGCTACTGCATGCTTTGATGTTAAATTCACTTAGAGTTTAAAAGAACGGGATTTCATTGTTTTGAATTATTTTTGGAGGGGTTTTTTATTATAAAATTCCTCTAATCGAAATGCTATATAAATGTAAGATCTTGATGAGGCCCGCTCACCAAATTTTATTGAATTGTAGATGCCCATGTACTATTGACTGAATTTATTTACTTTTTTTTCTCCCCCCCCCCCCCTCTG